GCCTGTATGTGTGTGTGCAGCTCCGGACACGTGTGTGCACCTATAGACACATATGTGCACCTATGGACATGTGTGTGCACCTACGGACACGCACGTGCAGGAGTGTGCGGGTGTGTGTGTGCATGTATGCCTCTGCCTAGCACTCCGGAGCCTTCCACGTTGAATGTACGCAGCAATCGCGAGCGAGGGGCCGCGCGCCAGCCCAGCACCCTGTAGCTGCGCAGCCGGTGGGACAGGGCCCCGCTCCAAGCGTCCACCTTTCCATCCAGCCCATCCTGTGCAATAAACGTCAGCAACTGACAGAGCTACGCACGACTCCGTCTCTGCTTCTCCTTTGCCACCATCCCTCCCTGCCGCGGCTCCGGCTGTTCCCGCTCCCCTTGCCCAGTCCTGGCAGCTCTGCCGCCGGGCACGTCCCCAGGCTGGGCTGCAGGAGGCTGCTTTGTCCTTTGAAGAGCTGCTTCCCTGCCAGAAAAACAAGGCAAAAAGCCTCCTCCCAGCACCTTTCCCCTTGCTGGCAGTGCTGTGCTCCCCTGTCCCCTGTCAGCTGGACACCACGGCGCTGCAGCGAGGAAGGAGCTGGGAGCAGGCTGTGAACTGGAGCTGGTAGGTGCAGGACTCAGCCAAGAGCTGGGTCAGACCCAGAGCTCCAGCTGCAAAATCTCCAACCCTCAACTGCTGCAGGAGCTGGGACACAAACACGCAGCCCCCCCAGACTGCAAAAGTCTGTGAGACAGGAGGCTCCTAGTGAGAAACACAAGGGCCGAGAGGATGCAGCCAGCCTCTGCGAGAGCCCTGCTCCTGCTGCAGCTGTGCTGGCCAGTCTGTGCCACGGGAAGTGTTGTCTCTCTTTCTGCTAAAAAAGCATTTCCAGAATGTGACATCCCTGTGAATAACCGAAACCCAACCAACCAGCTAAACAGTGGCAGTCTGGGGAGATATCAGTCCCACCTCCTCAGGAGCCCCAGGAAGATGAGGGGAGAGCCCAGGCACCCCCCAGCCTTCAGGCAAAGATGCCAAGAAGGACACAGTTCCCACTGAGTATTTCAAAAAAACATTTTATTTACAGTATCGTACACCTCCACCCCCATGTTAGTGGTTTTTCCCTGCCTGCGACTTCAGTGAGCAGAATTGAAACTGAACCCTGGAAATGAGAGTCAGGAGCCACAGAGGCTGCGCTACGGGAGAGCGGTGACGGTGCCCAGCACCCAGAGCGGGGTACGGAGGGCAGCAAGCACCCGGCCTGCAGCCGAGAGCAGGGCAGGAAAGGGCAGGGGCCTAACGCTCTGAGGTCCGAATCCCACTGGTGGAGAGGGATGGCAGCCCAGGACAAGCAAGCTCTGGAGCTCGCAGCAGTGGCAGGCGCATCGTGCCAGGGTGAGGACTGAGGGGAGCCAGCCCTGCCTGCCATCACCCCTTTGACCTCACACCAGGGAGATGCAGCCCTGCCCAGGGCTCGACACCCTCTCCCCGTGCCCGGGAAGCAGGCAGCGACAGCAAACAGCGCAGACCCCCTGTCCCCCACCGGCCCCGCACAGCTGCTCGAGTACTCCCAGTTTGCCCCAGCATCTCGGTGCTGGGCAGGTGTCTTTCACTGGGCTGGCAGCCGTACCGGCTTTCCACATGAGACGCAGGACACAAAAGCCTTGCAGGCCAGCGCCTACCGCAGCCTCCGAGGCAGCTGGCAGTACAGAGGTAGTCCGGGGTCCCGCTGGCTCAGCTGAAGAAATAGGTGGAGTCCATCACCTTCTTCAGGTTGAATTCGCCTGGGAGAAGGGAGAGGTGAGAGGAGAGCAGCGTCAGGGCAGGGTGGAGATGGGGCAACGGGGAGAGAAGCTGCTCCGAGCCCCGTTTCACCTTCCTGCACAAAACTACTTCAGCTCAGCCCCTGCTGCAGGGTAGGTCAAGACAGCAGGGATCTTAGAGATCTTCCAGGAACTGATGTCCCTCCAAAGTTATCTAGGACAGTGGTAGGGAGAGCAAGACAGAAGAGCGTAACAGCAGCGAGGCAGGGCAGGAAGAGAGGAGCGCACAGCCTCATGGCACGAACCATCCCTGCCCCTGGGTTGTGCTGCCTCTGGGGCTGACCACGGCAGCTGCTCAACAGCAACGGAGCACTGGCCTGTTCCGTTTTGCAAAAGGCGGAACAAAGGTTAGCCAGATGGTCTGGCAGAGGCAGGGCCGAGAGATTAGGAGGAGTTAAATTAATTGCCTTAATCCAATTGCGTGTATATCATCTAGATCCTGGCAATTGTCATGCTGCGAGCCTCAATCCCATCTCCAGGCAAATGCCTCATGGTTGGAAACAGATGGGAGAGGAACAAGAAGACAGGGATGGGATAAGCTGGGTCAGCCTGGGGAAAATCCCAGGGGCTCAGCTCTGGTGAAGGCAGGGATCGCTCACAGGGATGCTACAGGGGAACATCTTAAGGCACTGCCCCATGGCTCTGCAGTCCAGCACAGGCAGGAAAACCTGATTTTAGGAGACTGCGTTAGCATGGCCGGCCAGACCCTCACTGTGTCCAGACACCGCATGAGCTCAGTGATTTTGGGTGCCACTCCCCATCTCACTCCCCTCGTCTCCAAACTGCTCCTGAGCTTTGCAGTTCCTGTCCTGTGCTCCTACCTGTCTTGGGGACACTCGACAGCTGCTCCATCAGCTTCTTCTGCCAGAGGGCTCTGGTCTCTCTGCTGGGGCTGGATGAACCAGAAGAAAGCAAATCAAGATGGGAGCTCTGGGAGAAGGTGCACCCTCCTCTGCTCCCCAGTGCAGGCCCCTGACAACAGGATTCAGCTCTTCCAAATTACACACCCAGGGGCAGGAGCCCAGCCCCTGCCACCGCAGCCCTAGGCAGATGTGAGGCATCTACAGACCCTGCCCAGGTTTGGGTGGGTCTGTGCTGCCTGGCTGGCTCTGCAGTGATAATGGGGGTCCACACACTGGGCCGACCCAACGCGTGTCTTCACCGCTCCTTCCTGCCTCATTCACAGTGGGGAACCCACTGGGAACCCCCAGGCCCACTGAGGGATTGAAGCACCAAACCCTACTTCAGTTCTGCAGCAGAAGGATGCAGACACCTTGTTTTTCACACCGAGGTCTAAGGCGATTTGGGCATCAGTCAAGAAGGAAGCAAAACTTCCCTCCAGAGCAACCCCCAGGCAGATGACACAACCCGTGAGCATCTGGGCACAACAGCCCCCGGGAGAGGGAATCAGTGTGGGTAGGAAGGGGAGGGGGCGGGTTGCCAACAGGCACGGAATACCTGCAGTACTTCTCCAGCATGAACTCGGACAGATCCTGCAGGATCTTCTCACTGTGCAGAGCCACAAATTGCTGCCGACAGATCTGATCCAGGGAGCAATGGTGAGTCGCAGGTTAATAGGCGGTTTCCCCTCCTTCCCCTCAGCGCTTCTCAGCCAAGGCAGGTCAGAGGTGAGGGGCAGGGAAGGCAGCGGGCAAGAGTGGGAAGCGGGGGCTGCCAGACAAGGGTGAAGGGAATCAGCCTGGGGAGGTGGGAAGCAGAGGCCAAGCCCCATTTATCAAGAAACCATACAACAGCCTTTGCAGCGCTCCAGGGGAAGAGCCCAGGGCAGGACAGAGGCACTGACTCTGCTAGGCGCTGTGTTTAGCGCTGATTTACAGGCACAGAGTCTCCCTCACGCCCTCCTTGAAGGGTGGGAGGAGATAGGACTACAGCACCAGGAAATCAGCTGCAACCGCCAGCAAGCACTCCAGGTTCACCCTGCCTGGGTAAATAAATCAGCCTGCGGAGCAAAGCCCAGGGGAGGCAAGGGCTGGCAAGTGCCCAGAGGACAGATCAGCAAGATCCCTGCTCACAAGGGAGCCGGGAGGACACTTTTACCTGGTTCATGATGTCCACGGTGAGCGCGTGAGTCCAATAGCAATCGTGGACCGAGACGAAGGTCAGACCCTGCCTGGGAGGCAGCAGAAGGTGCCATGAAGCAGTGCCGAGAGCTCCCTCTCTGCGATGTCCCCTACCCTGTGCAGACCCTCTCGCTGGGACCAAAGCAGGGACCATGCAAGGAGGGGGACGCCCTACACAGCATCTGCAGATCTTCAGAGAGAGACGGCTAACCCTGCGATCTCCCTGTCCCTGCCCGCTGCCTCCTCTCAACCCTTCTCTGCCAGAAACCCCAAACCCCCACCCACCAGGAAAACCTCTTTCCCACATCACACGCCTTGCCCCGGTGACGCTCTCCCAGCGGAGACCGAGTGCCAGAGCTGGGGAAGAGCCCCAGCTGCCTGCTCCCTACCTGAGGCAGTGCAGAGCCGTAAGCATCATGTGCGTGGAGTCCAGGGAGTGGATGAAGTTGGGTGGGAAGGCGTTCTTCTGCTTCACTGTATCGGGCTTCCTGCAGCACAGAGTGGGAGACGGGAGGAGCTGGGGCACTTCCAGGGCCAAAGATGAGTGCGCCAGCACAGAGCCAGTGCCGGCTGAGACCCGGGATTCGTAGGGGCAGCCCTGGGGGGCCCCAGGAGCTTTGGCACTCATTGGAAGGTTTTGTCCCCAAAGCACAGGCTGGGGAGAGCAAGGGCTCAGTAAAGACTGTGGTTTCATACTTACTGGCTGCTGTTGGAGTTTTTCACACTCAAGTGCTGCATGCTGCAATTCAGCTACACGGAGAGAGAAAGGGGATCAGCTGTCACACTGCACTGCCCAGGCAGCACAAGGCGCTCAGCACTGCCCTGTACTTTTGGAGAGGGGATCGCACCGACCACGAGCTACTCTGCTCTGCAGGAAACATCCCTGGCTGCAACAGGGGGCCTGGGCATGGACCTTTCCAGGGCATCCCAGTCACCACGGCAGTCACTCCTCAGTGACACCTTGCCTGCTTCCCCTCCCGAGGATGCTGGCAGGCATCCTTCACCCCTTCCCAGCGACACGCTGATTCACCCCTGCGAGGGCTAAGAGAAGGGCTCCTGGAGGTGAGCGGCTGTGAGGAAGAGACAGGCTGGGGAGACGTGAGTCAGCGCAGCAGCGCGTGGGAGGCGAGAGCAGCGAGACTGAATCACGCAAGCCCTGAGGAAGGCTCCTCGGTGCGGGGAAGGGGCCCGTGCCCCAGCTGCCTGAGTGGGATGGGAGCAGCAGAGCTTCCTCACCAGCCCACCCACACACCCCAGTCTCTGCAGGGAGCGACGACGTTGGAGGATGTGCCTGCATACACAAATCCTACCTGCTCTGCAGGCTGACCCGCAGGTGATGCCAACTTGCCAGGCTTTAGCTTGCTGCTTTGAAGCCCGGCTGCCCTCTCCCTGCTCCCCACCATGGCAGAGGGAGGGGTAGATGAGTCCCGCACACCAGATACTCACCACGGTGGACCTGGACCGATAGTAGGGCTGCACGATGGGGAGACCCAGCGGCGTGACCCACTCCACTGTCCGTCCCGACTGGGCAATGAGCTTGGCACTCTCCGTCAGCCAGTGCTTTAGCAGAGGAAAGTGGGGAAGAAAGCGGCTGGAGTTAGTATGGGCAGCTGGGACACCCCCATCCCCTCCCAGCACAGGCAAGCCCAACTCCTGCCACCGACTGCGACAGTCCAGCGTTTACGAGGGAGTTTGGCCCTGCAGCAGGCACAATCCCACACCTCTGGGCTGGGACAGAAGGATCCTCTCTGGGCCAGGACCCAGAAAAACCATCTCTCCCCGTGGAGCATCCCCTGGTCTATGTATGGGTGGGCCAGGGAAGAAGAAAAGGCAGAGAGAGCTAAGAGGAAACAGGCACCTTACCTGGATGTCTCGAGTTGCTGAGAACATCTCCTTGATGCTATTGAACACCTGCTTTACAAGGTAGTGAGATGCTTCCCACAAGTATTCCTGCACAGACCAAAGGCAGAGCGAGGGGTCAGGCAAAGGGGCAGCAAAAGATGCGAAGTAAAGCGATGGGACCTAGGGTAAGCTAAAAGAGCATCTCCCTGCTCTCTGGCGCCTCAAAATTGCCTCCATCACAGACTGTGCTAAGTCTTGAGCTGTTGCAGATGGCTGAGTTGTGATGGAGGAAGGCTGAGATCAGCATTTCGGGCGGCTTCTTGTCTGAGGACAGGCTGATCTCTGTGCAATGTCCCTGGACGAACAGGAGGCTCTCGCTGCCTCATCCGCCCCAGGAATGTTAACACCCGGCAGAAACACTCCCAGCACCAACCTGCCACGGCAAATCACCCACTCAGCACGCACTGTCTCACGGTGGGGTCACAGAACAAGAAACAGGCACCAGGAGGAGCAAGCCTCCCAAGATCTCTGCTAGAGACAAGGGCCACTTCCAGAGGGAAAAACACAGCCACAAACCTTGTTTTGCATCTGAAACACCAGCCGAGGCTGTCATGCCACCAAGCTGGGCCCAGGATGAGGAGCAGCCCCACCTGAAGAATCCCTCCCCAGCACAAGTGCCGGCAGACAGCCCTCCTGCAGGCTGGACAAGCCTGGCACAGGCATGGGGGGCTCAGTCCTGCGCAGCCCTCTGCTAGCTGAGATTTGGGGGGGTAAGCAGAGAGCAGGGCAGGAAGGAAACCCACAGGAAGGGCAGTGCGGGTACCTCTCCCAGCAGGGATTGAGAGCTGAGCAAAACACCGCGGGGGGAGGCCAGGGCAGGCATACTACCTCAGGGAACTCGTCAATCTCCTTGAGACGCTTCTCCATCTGCAGCCGCCCGCCGTAGCGTGTGACACCATACACCACCGTCATCACTGTCTGCTTCACCACCTTGCGGCTGACAAAGCCCTGCAGCACCTGGGCGATCTTCACCCCCTGTTCAGCATCCTTCTTCCGAAACTCCTCCACCTGAGGAGGAGAGTGCCCCAGGAGGTCAGCCCTACCGCGAGCCGTGCTGGCCCAAGCCCCATGGCTGGGGGAGAGTCAGGGGGGCCGCAAGAGCCCCTCCTGGCTGTGCACTGCCTGGCCTCAACTCCCATCAGAAACTCTGGAGCCCATCTTCACCCGCCCTGGTTAACAGATGTCATCTGCTGAAGGAATCAAGAGGCATCCGCATCTCACAGATAACCGTGCCCGCGAGGACCAGAGCCTTCCACTGCTGCCTCAGCAGAGCAGTGTCACTTGGCAGCTGCACGGTGCCGGACATCACAAGGACACGGCGCTAGGACTGTGGCTCAGGACTCGGGTTCTCCCACCTCTGCCACCCCCAGTGATAACCCTGAGCAAGCCGTGCACCCTCTGTGCGCTCCTCCCGCCCTCTGGTGCGGTGCTGCCTGGATAAAACGTGCTGAGACCTAGAAAGGAGAACCAGGGGTTCAGTGCCAGTTGAGTGAGTCTGGTAGATCTCAGCGCACTTCCCAGCCAGGCTCATTTCACATCATGTCTTGCCAAGAAAACTGAAGACTTAGCGGCAGTGCCAAAGGCTGAATCTCTCCCCGCTCTCTCCTACCCAGCCCAAATGAAGAAAATCCCATAACCTGCAGGCCAGCCAGCTGTGGCCAAGAGATGAGGAACACTCTCTGCTCTCTTCCACCTCTCTACCCTACTTCTCCCAGAATTCATTCAGGACAAGTGAGGACAGCAGAAATCCCAGCGGATTTCTCATAGCTACCTCTGTCAGGACAGATCTCCAGCCAGTTCCCCACTGCAGCTGCTGCACTGGTTCTCATGTGGGGAGGAAGAGACTCTGCCTGTGACCAGCTCTTGCTTTCCCGGCCCTCTGTACGCTGGTCTTACCTTGACCTTTCTCCTTGGGAGCTGCAGTGACCCTGTGCAACAGTGCAAGGGGGAGAGGCAGGGCCAAGAGAACACCTCCCCGTGTCCCCACTCTGCCTCACCTGCTGGGCCACCGCACTGTAGACATCCTGGGGGATACTGCAGGGCATCAGATTGACGGAGATGGCGCCGATAAGGTCCCGGCCAAGAGCTGCGTAGTGCTGCAGACCATTGCAAGAGCCGTCCTGCGTGTGAGAAGAGAGCAGGGTGGAAACAAGGTGTTAGCGTGTGGATGGAGCCCTGCTCATCCGCCCCCGCTCAACAGCACAGATACACTTGGCTCAGAAGGTTAGCGCCATTTTCCCCCCCCTCCTCTTCAGACAGGTTTGCAGCTGATCTCCCAGCAGTGGCAAGGGCCAGACCAGTTTCCATTTTCCTTCTGGCCAGTTTTCCTGTCTGGGTCTCATCACTAACTACTGCTGCCTATGAGGTTTAAAAAAAGAAAATGGCACATCACACTGCCCCCTCCATGAATTTTCAAAGACATCAGAGCTCTGTGGAAACACTAAAAAACCAGAAAATTTGGAAAACAACAAATCTGCCTGGGATGTGAGAAGAAGCCCCAAGAACCGGCAGTCAAAGCAACCTCAGAAAACCCAGGAGTGGGACCAGAGGCAGGAAGAGGCAGGCCAAGCCAAAGATCACTCAGCAAGGCACAGCTGACTCCGAGGCTCCAGCTAGCTGTGCTGCCTCTGCTCTGTGGCTGATGAAAACATCCTCCTGACAGAAACCAGCTCTGACCCAGCCCTTCCCAAAGCTGCAGTTAAGAGGCACGCTGGCCGATCTGTCACAGCCGCTGCCCTGACAGCCCTCCTGGGACCAAGATCAGCTTGGATGAGACAGGCAGGACCTGAACGATGGCGTGGGAAGGTCCTGCTGCTCCCCAGACAGCGCCAGCAGAAGCGCTTCTCCCAGAAGATGTGCTGCTGCTTTGGACCGTCCCTGCTCCTCCTGTGCTTGGGCTCTGCCTGGTCAAAGGGAGCCTGCAGCTGCCGGCAGGATCAGCCCTCCTCTCCTCTCCCCCTCCTCCCCACACCCTGCAGTGCAGCAAGTTGCAGAGCTGAGAATTGACAGGGCTCCGGCAGCGCTGCCGCGGCAGAAGAGCTGCCTCTATTAACCAAATGCTGATGACTCAGATGGAAAGAGACTGGGGTGCCCTCCAGAAGAAGTCCTTGTTTGAATTTCATTAACAGCACCCTCCACACACCCCCGACCGCTCTCTTGATCTTTTGTTGTCATAACAGTTTCAGTTTAGATGGTCTCATACATATTCCAGACCATGGCTACTGGCAGGATACACCCTGTTCTCCCCCCCCACTTCATTAGGGCCATCTGATCTTCTAATGAGATAAATGAGCAAACCCCTCTCACCAGGAAAACAATTAATCATTGTCTCCCATGCAGCAAGGGGATTTATCAGTGCAGACAGATAGCTGGCTGGGCAGCGGCTGCAGAGAGCGCTGCAGATCTACTGGGATGCAGCAGGGAGAAAGGGCTGAGCGCTGGCTAAGGGGAGCGGCTGCCAGGCTCCTCTCCCCGGCTGGGAAGGACAGACGCCTTCAGAGAGCCGAGCGATTGCACTTGCCCTGCTCAGAGCGCGGGCATGTCCGGGACCAAGCAGGAACAGGGCTCATGGTGAATGACAGCCACGCCACTGAATGCAGGGGACAGATCAGCTCTGTCCCCCTGCCCTTCTTCAGAGGTCCAGACCTCCCGTCTTTTGCTCCTGCAGAGCTGCTGGGCTCCAGCCTCAGAACAGGAGCAGAGCAAAGGGCCCCAAAGCCTCAGCACAGCCCCAAGCACTTCAGATAGGCAGGTGCTGCCATACACCGTGCCACGGCCCACCCAGCCAGGGTCGGGCTGATTTCCAGTCCTGATCCCATGGCTAGAGAAGGGAAGGCTGGACCAGCTCTCATCCTGCAGGCAGCTGACTGCAATCTCCCAGACAGGCTCTGCTCCAGCCAAAGGAAGCAAAGCAGCACTTAACTGTACTGGCTCATTAACGGCTGCATGCAGCAGCAAATTACTGGCATTCTCAAGCCAAGATGCCTGTAGACTGCACTCCCATTCTTAAGAAAGCCTGGCCACATGGCATAGTAAATGTAGCATTGAAGGCCTGGACGCTTCTGCCCTGCCTGTTTTCCTCCCCCAGCTCAGTCACACGGGCCCTGCGGATCCGCTGGGCTCCCACCTGGTGAACTGGGAAGTGAGAGATGTAGGCGGCTGGATCCGGGGACCGCGAGGCTTTGGCGATTTCCATACAGCACGCCAAGGCTTGCCAGGGTTCGTCGGTGTTCATCCACCACTTCCTGCCCTGGGAAAAGGAAAGAACAAGCTGGTAGGAGCGGGCAGTGCTCTTATGGCACCCCAAGGCAGAGGCAGGAGCCCCTGCGCTCTTGGGATATACTAGGCAAGGCACCGTGCCTCCACGTCCCTAATATCTCATCGTGTTTTTGGATAGAAATATGTTATTTAGGAAACGCTGCAATGCTTTGTTTCCCTTTTTCCTCTCAAAGCATTATCTTTCAAAATGTTTTTGTTTCAAAATTGGTTGGATTTACATTTTATTTTACTTTTCAGAAGCTACGCTAAATAAGAGGAATGGTTAAGTCTCCTCTGAAATTAAAGACAACGCTGATCCCTTTTTGCTTAGCATATTTAGACAATTCCTATTTAGACTCCAACACAGACGAATTTCCCTGCTTTTCAGTTTGGTCACTGAAGGGGAACCTCTCAGCCCACCTGGGCCTCGCTGCAGGCTCCCAGAGCCCACGCTATCCCCCGTGGTTCAGGGTCCCACCACTCCATCCCAAGAGCGAGCAGAGCCCTGCCAGCCGTTCTCCACCTACCGTGAGTGGGTGGTCGGCCGAGTCCAGGATCTCCTCCATGATTTCATTGGCGTACTCCAGCCGCTCCTGCAAGGCGTTCTTCTTCTTCAGCCCCGTGAGGTTGATGAGGTGGATCTTCAGCCAGTCAAGGCCCTTGGGCCCCAGCGGCCTTCCCTCTGCGAAAAGCAGGATGGCCCGGGTCACGTCGTTACCGAGGTGGTTGAAATAAGGTGGGCAAGGGTAAGTCCTGCCTCGGAAGTCCATGTTGTGAGGAAACCAGAACACCTTGTCCCTGACGTAGTTGGCGATGGAGAGCTTATAAAGCGCATCCATGCGCAAGCTGTGCATTTCGGCTGCCTTCTTCTTGCACAGCAACAGCTCGTGCTTCTGGGACTTGGTCCAGGTAGACGAATTGCTGGGAGCAGCAGAAGGCCTGGGGGCCTCAGAGATGGGCGGTGGGATGTCCAGCTTCTCATTGCCTTTGTCATTGAAGATGGAGATGATGATATCCAGCACTGGCTGGTTAATCTTCCAGGCGCAGTTGCCCAGCTGGTTCAGGGCATCCAGCACGGGGTGGAGGTTCACCGGCGGACACTGCTCCAGGAGCAGCTGGTGCTGGATGGCCCCATCCACAAAGCGCATCAACTTGGTGTCATTCAGGACAAAGGCACCAAAGTGGGGGGACATCCAGGGTACTGGGGGGCACAGCATAGGTATGGCAGAGGAGTTAAAGGTCAGCAAGGTTTCTGCAGCGTCTGACACAAGCTGGGAGAAGATGGGATGGGGTTTTATCAGCCCAACCTGGAGAGGAGAATCAGAGAGGTGAAGGTCAGCAGCAGAGGATTACAGCTGGAGTCCAGAAGAGCATGTGGTCAGTCAGCCATTAGATAACGATCACGCTAAGTACTGACACTGTCCACACAGAACCAGAGGCTCCTCTAAGTGTCCCTGAGCAGGAAAGGCAGCAGGGAGGGAAAAGGGCCTTGCAAAGGCCCAGTTCTGATGAAGAGGTGACCTGGCACAGTCCCAAGCCCCGCCGCTCTTCAGCCTGGAGAAGAGGAGGCTGCGGAGAGACCTTATTGCGCCCTTTCAGTACTTAAAGGGGGCCCACAGGAAGGATGGGGGCAATCTTTTTAGCAAGGCCTGTTGTGACAGGACAAGGAATAATGGATTTAAACTAAAGAATAGATTTAGACTAGACATAAGAAAGAAATTTTTTACACTGAGGGTGGTGAGGCACTGGCACAGGTTGCCCAGAGAGGCGGTGGAGGCCCCATCCCTGGAAACATCCCAGGCCAGGTTGGACGGGGCTCTGAGCACCCTGCGCTGGTTAAAGCTGTCCCTGTCACTGCAGGGGCTGGGCTGGGTGATCTCTAAAGGTCCCTTCCAACCCAAAGCATTCTATGATTCTATGACAAGGCTCACCTGCCAGCTGCTGCGGAAGGAGTAGATGTGGTAAAGGACGGGGATAAGCTTGGATTCCAGGCGAGGATTGAGGATGTTCCTGGGCACCTTGACAGCCTGCACCAGGAGTTCCAGCATGTGCATGCCCAGGCGCATGAGGAGCATGTACGGCCAGCCGCAGTCCTTCAAGTTCAGGGAAGGCCCAAAGCCTGCTTCTGCCACCAGCTTCTCCCAATATTCCCGCGGCAAGTACTCGTCAGGCTGGGAGGTGGAAGGAGAAAATCAGGTCAGCTGGAGGGGCCAGCCACGCTGCTCCTGGGGATCTACATACCTGGAACATGGCTCTGAGGACCCTCCAGTCTCTGTGTCCCTGTGAGGTCCTCCCTGACAAGGGTATGTGGGGAAGGACTGCTGACATGGCTGGGGCAAACCCAACAGCGAGAACCTGCTTCTGCTGCAGGCCAGGACAGTGGCACTGCAAAGCCCTTCCTCTCGCCGCATCCCTGTGCTGACACCCTGTTCCCACACCATCCTCACCCTCCTTGCCAGGCTGCGGATCTGCCTCCCCCACCATGCGCACACAGCTCTGGAAACAACACGCTCATCCGGCCCTCGAGCTGCCCAGATCGGTGGCCTTGGCCCCTTTCTCCCCTCTCATCCTGCCCTGCAAAGCACACCCTCCTCAAGCCCCAGAGCTCTCCTGCACAGGATGCCTGGCTCCAAGGGATCAATTCTGCTGATTTAAAACCTTCAGGCTCAGAAATACCCACTACTATGCCAGAACCGACCCTGCCCCTGTTCCCATGGGGCAGCGGGGGGCCTTACTGGTTCTGCTGGCCTCTGCAGCAGCAGATTCCCAGAATCTGGACCTTGTCCTTGCGAGGAGGTGGACAAACTGCCTCGCCCCGTCTCTGCCTTGCAACCCGCAGGCCCCAGGACCTCCCTCTCCCAGGTGTCCCTACCTGGCTGTTCTTTGCTAGCAGGTGGATGTAGTCCTCATAGACGTGCTGCACCTTCTCCAGCTGGCGGCTGCGCAGCTTCCTCTGGGTGATGTATCTGTTGTAGACTTTGGAGCCCAGCTCCCTGGCCAAGACAGCCAGGGATTCTCCTTGTGGAGAGAGGGTGTTGAGGATCTGGGAAAGGGGAAGGCAAAGAGGGTCTTAAGGAGGGAGGAACAGAGAGGCGGAGCAGAGAGACAAAGTGGGATTTAAAGCGCCTGTGTGGGAAGCGTGGAAAGATACTGATTCCCGTGATGCAGAGCAGACGATGAGGAAGGAAATGCAGCCGGGGCAGAGCAGTGGACTTCTCTGGCTGCTCAGCACAGGGAGCAGACAGAGCCTGCACCTAATAACCTGGGCAAACTTTGAGCCTCATGTTCTGATTCTGCTAGCCCAAGCAGGATCTCCGTGCTTTGTGGCAGCCCTTTGGCCACCCGGGCGGCCCTGTCCCCGTGGCTCCATGAGGGCAGGGCAGGCTCCTACCTGCAGCATGATGCTCACGTACTCCTCATCCGGCAGCAGGCACAGGTAGGGGTAGAGAATGTTGTACCCCGACACCGTCTTGAGCTTGGACATGCTATGCTTTGACTTCTGCAGGGCCCGGAGGATGGAGTCATGCCACTGGGAACGAAGCGTGGCCAGCAGTTTGCGCTACACAGAAACGGAAGCAAGAGAGTAATGCTGTGGTGAGAGTGTGTCACCAGGGAGCTGCTCCCCCTCTTTAAGCCACCGACCCCTGCATCCAGGTCCAGAGGGCTGAAGTGCCCCCCTTCCCTCCAGCCCCCAGACGCCCTGAGCTTTACCGCTTTAATGGCTTGCGGGGTCAGAGGTTTGCTTGACTCCACCGACTCGATGGTTACAGTGTTGTCCAGCTCCATCTCCAGCTGCTGCTGAAAGCACTCCTGCAGCTCCTGCACAGAGAAATCCAGCTTGGGGTACGACACCATCTTCTCCTGCAACAAGAGTGAAACACTAAGCGCCAAAAGCCAGAGGAAGAGAAGACGTGCTCATTCTCCTAGCTTCCCTGCAAGAGGCACGTGGTATGAGTCCCTGCTGAAGGCACCTTTCTGGGACCTCGGTACAGAGGTCTGAGGTCTCTGGCTGGCAAACCCCAGGCAGCGTGGAGTAACAGGCCTCTCCAGAGTCTGCTCTGTTCCTGTGTCATGGTCAAGCATCCCCCCTCCAGCACATGACGGTCATCTCCAGCCCCGCCACCAGCCCTCGGCTTCTCTGTTCCTCTGTATGGCTGTTCCTCAGAACAAGGAGCTGCCTGATGATTTGCGTGGGCTACTGAGCAGAGATCGGGCTAAAAAATTCTTCCCATATTACAGTCTTGGGCTGGACCTGAGGACACCTGTGAACACTGTTTGGCCAGCTCCAACACCTCTCTGAGCTGCAGAGACATCCCTGAGCTCTGTGGCTTACTTTGGAGTAGAAGTCCTGGAGCAGAGAAGACTTGCAGATCTCGGGATTGGGTGGAGGGGGCAGCTGGTAGTTGGGCTGGACAATCCTGATGGCCCTCAGCACCTTCTCCTTCTCATCTTCCTCAAACAGGCACTTTTGGAAGAGCTCATCCACGTGGAAGCCATCATTCTTCAGCTGCTGCACACATCTGAAGAGGGGCAGATAAGATAGGCTTAACCTTTCACAGGGGACTGTGCGCGTTGGACAGAAATCGGCACATAATGAGGCAGGGAACGAAGTTTTTTAAGCATGGAGAAGAGGAGACAGATGGGGGGGTGACCCCTTTTGAGGATCCAAGAGGCTTTTCCTTCCTCAATTGTGCCCTCAGCAGCATCACCCAGACCCAGGCGAGACACACCACAGGACAAAGAGCCACCCCTCTCAAATCCCTGGCAGCCACAAAATTAAAACCCTGGCAGCCACAAAATTAAAACCCTCTCCCAAAGCAGGGCTTGGGGGCTGGCACCCACCAAGAATTAGCTCTGAGCATAGGGCAGGAGACTGATACACGGCTCCAGGAGGGCTGGTGGAGCCTCCCCATGCCAGGTGGTTCCCAGTAGCTTTCCCCTGTGCCACCCTTCATGCCAGGGCAGCTGCAGGAGGGTGCAACCTCTCACACTCATTGGAAAGGCTCTGACAGTCCTGGGGAGTGGGATGTGCCCCTCGCACTTGTCCTGGGATGCCTCTTCCCTTCTCCAGCACGCTCCTCAAAGCTTGCTCCCTGCAGCAACCGCTGAAAGCCTTGCAGCAACTTGTGCCTGACCACACTGATGTCTGCCCAGCCCCAGACGGGGGAAGAATGGTGCAGAAATGGGCATAACCGGGAAACCAACAGAAGGCAGATGCCTCAGTCCACCAAGAACACAACTGCTGGGCATCCTGGCAGCAGGACGCTGTCCTGCGGAAACATGGGAGCTCTCCCTGCCCTCCGCACACAGCCAGGAGACAGCTCTCAGGGCTGCAGGAGCTGTTGGGGTGGGAGCTGCCTCCAGAGCACAGCTCGTCCCAGCAAGGTGACCCGCCTCAGGTTACAGCAATCGATTATCCACCCCTCCAACCCGCACCTCTGCTGAGCAGGCGGCTTTCACCTTCACACTCAGGTGGGAAGACTGAGTTCTGCTGCTGTTGTGAGACTGAGCAAAAAGATGCTGGTTCCTTCACCCTCAAATAACCCTGCTCTCGCCCACCAGCCCAAGGCAGCAGAAGGGAACCCACGGGGCTGGTCACAGCTTGGGTGAAGGGGCAGGGGACTGCAGTCCATGCACCGAGCCTGGGAGCCACGGCACAGGAGCATGGCTCGCAGGACTGAAGCAGGAATAGCCTGAGCACCCGGAGCGGCTGCAGCGCCTGCGAGGAAGCTCTCCTCCCAGCAGCCCCCATCGCTGCTGGGGATCAAAATCCCCTGCACAGACCAAGATCTCCCACTCCTCAGCCCCGTCAAGAATGCTGCGGGACCGCATCCTCCTGGCTCTGCTGGGCTGGAGCCAAGATCCAGGGCGCAGCAGAGCCCAGAGGCACACCAACAGACTGGCCTGGCCCATGCCTGGTGACACTGGAGGGAAGACAGGCAGACCCAGGTGACAGTGGCACCAGCCAGGCCCCGGCCCAGGACCCCCCATCAGCCACAGAAAGCAAAACGAGTAGGAGGGATCCCCTGGCAGCTTTGGGAAAGCATCAAGAGCCCAAGAGGTGACAAAGAGCGCCCTGAGCCAGAACTGCAACACGCTGTGAATCCTGCTGCATTTCAGTACGGTTGGGAGCAGGCAGGAGCTTTGGTGAGGAACAGCTCTACTTCTCTGCAGAGCCACTCTCCCCAAAAACTACCCCACAGCAACCCAGTTACAACAAGCAACTCTCACCTTACACCCTCAAAGGGACCCTACAATCTGGGAGCAGAGCGAGAAACAACCCCAATCTCGCCTGCTCCCGGCACAGGCTCAGCGCTCCAGGCCATGCTGCTGCCGTGTCCAACTGGGAGAGGACATTTAGGAGAGGAAGGGAAACGAGAGCTCATACCCACACACACAGCGCCAGCAAACAGGAGTTGTGGGGAAACACACACGTGCCCTGGTGAGGCTTGGGGTTGCCAAATCTGCAGGCGTGTTATAAACATCTGCCTATAGACAGCCCTACAGCTGTACTGCTGTATTGGCGCAACACCCCCACAGGCAGGCAGGAAAGTCAATGCCAGTCACTTCTAAATCAGCTGACTGGAAGACATTCATTCAGAGGCATCTAGAACTTGTTATCCAGCCAAGAGACACACGAGGCCAGTGATAAATCTGGGGGAGCAGACACAGCTCTGGCCAGAAGCAAGGTTGTTCTCACCTCCTACATCTCCTTTCTCTACAAGATCAGAGACAAACTCCCTAGCAGCTGGGGGTGGCAAGGAGGGCCCACTGCAGGAGCCCTGCCCGTCCCTAAATCTGGCCACGAGAAGTAGGTCAGAGCATCTAAAATGCACGCAGTAGGGGCAGGTCTTCCCGACCCCGGGCCAGCAAATCTCCTCCCCAGAGCGAGCTCCCAGTTCTCCCAGCACAGCAGCAGGCTGTGGAGATGCTGCCCGGGGCTCGGTGGCACCCTGCGGCAAGTACGTTACCTCCAGATGGTTTTGGTGGACGACTGGTTCCGGCCCATGCACTCCAGCACTGCCGCATAGGAGTCCAGGTTGGGCCGGAGGCCGACGGACTCCAGCATGGATAACAGCCGGTTGATGTGCTGCAAGCGGCCCTGAGGATGAAAAGGGAAGGGGGCTGTGGACACAGACACCAGCAGCCCCAAATCACAGCTTCATGCCCCTCTGCTCCTGTTCAAATATAGCCCCGTCCATCCTGCCCCATCCCCTTCTTCCCCTCGAAGCCACCTGACAGGGATCAGTGGCCTGATTCAGTGGCCTCCTGCCAGCTCCGTCCCTCTCAGCAGAAGCCAAGCTCTCCTTGAACACTTGTTGAAGGCAGATGTGACAAACACAGATAAAACTGTGACCAACGCTTCTACAAGTGTGATGCTTTTCCTCCTGAGCCACCCCAATCTCCCCCTCAGCCACCCAGAAAACCTGACAGGTAGAGCAGGGCAGCAGCCCCCAGCTCGGTACCTTTCTGGCCCAGCTACGCATCACGATGTTGTACGCGTTGACATTCAAAAGCCTTCTCTTCGCAGGGGAGCTGTGGTATAAGAGAAGGAACCTCTCGGCCTCCTCCGGCTGCTGCAAGAAGAGGAAGCATTCAAGGTTGGCCTGGATGGTCTGCTGCAGGATCTTGAACTGGCTGCTGTCTTTGTCCTCCGGCACCCTGTGAGTTATCTGCACCTTTGCACCCTCCTTCGCTGCTGCCACCCTGGGCTTGCCGTGGGCGTAGACTCTGTAGAGGCTGGGGCTCTGTCTCCAGGCAGCAGCCACTTTAGCCTTCGGGCTCTTCTGGCTCTCCTGGCTCTCCTTGGCTTTAGCTTTGGCCTTCACCTTGCTCTTTGGTTTGGCCTTGGCCTTGGCCTTGGTCTTGGCCTTGGCCTTGGTCTTGGTCTTGGCCTTGGTCTTGGCCTTGGCCTTGGTCTTGGCCTTGGCCTTGGCCTGGCCCTCCAGAGCCTGTTGGGAGGCAGCGATGGATAACTTCCGCTCCACCTTCAGCTGCCGGATGTACATCTCTTTCTTCAACTTCTCCACCCAGCTGCTGGGCTGGGCTGGGCCCTCATCCCTTCCCTTGGGAGCAGGTTGCTCCTCCGTGGGGCTGGGAGCCACCACTTTCTGCAGCGGGTCCTCGTACTTGCCATTCCCCAGCGGGGCCAGCTCCACTTTGTTGACAGTCACCTCTGGGACGTTACTGGCTTGGAGCTGCTTCACTCGAGCTTTCAGCACTGCCGAGAAACACACAGCCGGGGAGAAGTGAAGGGATATGTGAGGTACGGCAGAAGGTTGCGTCCTACCCCAGAGCCTCACCTCTGGGAGTGTCCAGAAACATGCTCAGGAAAAGACGGTCCATGCAAGGACTTATTCCCTCCTTGGTCAGCCCTCCTCCCAGCAATCAGCTGCTTTGGCTACTGTCTTTCTGGGATCCGCCCATATGCTGAAGCCCACCCCAGCATCCCAAGGAACCCACCAACGGCACTGCAAGGGAAAAAGCACCAGCTCACGCTTATCTAACCTGCTGCCTGGTCACTGCGCTGGGCCTCTCTCCAAGGACCTCACGTCCTCGGCTCACCCAGGCAGAGAGCCCAAAGCCAGAGCATGTTCCAGATCAGTCTGCAGGGCCCTCGCACACCCTGGAGGGACTCTTTACTGTCCCTTAGGACCATGCTGCTTTTACAGCAACTCAACGCTCCCTGTGGGCAGGGTGGGCCTCCAAGTCCTTGGGACAGGACAGAACTTGCTCAGGGAGGCCAGCAAGTCCATGGGAAGTCCCACATCCTTGTCCAGACTACAAGTATTTCCAGTCTCAAATACCTTCTTTATGGCTACACAGAATGGGAAGACTCCTAGAAAACTTCCTGGACACTGAACAAGGGAAACCCCTGCAGCTCTCCCAGCCCTCCCCAACTCACCTTCCAGCAGCTCTGTCCTCTCGCAGACGGCATTTCTCCCCGCCTTCTCCTTGGCGCTGGCGGAGGAGTAGTTCCTGAGAACACTCCATGAGATCCCTGCAGCAGAAAGACACAAAGACCAGGAGGTCAGAGGAGGCTTCACCCCTTACACCGCTCCCTGCCCCACGCCACGCCTGGGCCCCAGCTGGGCAGCAGGGAGGGCGCAGAGAGGAGAGGGCGAGCAGCGTTTCTCAGCTCAGCTTGCAGGTCCCAGCAACCACAGCAGCAGGGCCACAGAAGAGCGGGGGACAGCTCTGTGCCAGAACATGACAGGGACACCCCCCTCACCCCCTGGCTCTAATCTCTCGGAGGGAACACGACCCGAGGGATGCCACAAACCCCAGCGCTGTCGCACGGGGTGACAAGACCCCGGCAACCCCTAGAGCAGGCAGACTCAATCCCACAGCAGGGACAGGACCCCAGGGACCCCCATTTCTACCCTTAGAGAATGACAATGCCCCAGGACACCCACAGCCCCCATCTCTGTCCCTGGGGCAGGGGGGGTCATGATGCAAAACGACCCTCATGGCCCCCAGCTCTGTCCCAGCGTAGGGTTTGGGATGCCCAGGACCACAGGGACCCCCCAGCCCCAGCTCCGTCCCCATGCTTGGGCTCAGGCCTCCAGAACCCCCCAGCTCCATCCCCATGGTTGGGCTCAGGCCTCCGGGACCCCCAGCCCCAGCTCCATCCCCACGCTTGGGCTCAGGCCTCTGGAACCCCCCTGCTCCATCCCCACGGTTGGGCTCAGGCCTCCAGGACCCCCAGCTCCATCCCATGGTTGGGCTCAGGCCTCCAGGACCCCTCAGCCCCAGCTCTGGCCCATGGTTG